CTGTCCGTAATTTTGCCCCGGTGTTTTTTTTGGGGGGGGGGGGGACACCACCCTTGCCAGGAGTTCTGAACAGCTCCTGACACAAGGATGTCGACACAACACCAGCTCCTGATTCTTTAACTTCTGAAAATGGAACAATGTGCGGGAGCAGTTCATTTTGAACACGGGTCATTAATGTGAAATCCAGAATATCCTCTGGTTCTTCCATGGGAGTAGTCATTACCTTCATAATAGTAGGGCCGGGAGTGCTGTGACAGAGTTCCTCCTAATGAAATCTTGGGGTCAAGGCATCAAATTCATAAAGGCAGTGAAAGGGGCCACTGTTCAATCTACTCAGTAACTTGAAGAGTTACCAAGGCAAAGATTCACGACCAAACTAAGTTGGAAACAGCGGCAACACCCCTCCAGGTCAGCAAAGCTCTCTTATCTTTCCTCTCTCCCCCTCCTTCCTTCGGGAAGCATCTGACAAAAGGCAGTGAGTCCTCTGTGATGCCCACGCTGTCTGTTTCCTTCCCAAGGCCAGAAATTTTTTTAGTCCTAAGTTGTTTGCTGGTGTTAACAGCTCTTCTAGATAAGGACCTAACTGATAATATCCACCAAATAGCCAGAAAGCTGCCCGGCCTTATCTGCACTCTACCTTCATGAGGGAGCAAAACTCCGACTGCAGGGAGTCTGTCGCCAACAGTAACAACTATGAAGCTTGTTTATAAGACTAATTAAAAATTTTGAAGGTTAAAATAGATAAAAATAATGTAAATAGTAATATAATAGGGATTAAAATTAAAAAGGAGTGTAGCTCAGCACAAACATCCCTCTTCTCAAGGTGGAAGCTGGAAGTTGCTCAGCTTTCTCTGAATTCTATGCTTGTATGTATCTGAACATAATAAAAAGCATCTGATCCTTGGCAAGTCCGATAATTAGGTAAATACAGTCTTAGATGAACAACACATGATGTATTACACCGTATCATGATATATTTAACAAAAATAAAGCCAAAATGGAGAAGCCATTTTATGAAAAACTAAGCAAACTTTATGATTCAGTTGGTTGTAGAACCATCCAAATAAAGCCAAAATGGAGAAGCCATTTTTTGAAAAACTAAGTAAACGTTTCAATAGGTTGTAAAACCATCCTTAACAGCAACAACTTAATCATTTTCTGTACAACTTTATCAGTCTCTCTCATCATTGTTGAGGAATTTTGCACCACTCTTCTTTACGTAACTTCAGTTCGTTGAGGTTTGTGGGCATTTATTTATCTATAGCTCTCTTAAGGTCCCGCCATTGCAACACCTTGATCCTTTTCTTTTTCAGCCACTCTGTTGTAGATTTGCTGGTGTGCTTGGGATTATTGTCCTGTTGCATGACCCAGTGTCTACCAAGCTTTTGCTGTCAGACAGATGGCCTCACATTTGACTATAGAATATTTTGGAATACAGAGGAGTTCATGGTCAACCCTATGACTGCAAGGTGCTCAGGTCCTGTGGCTGCAAAATGAGCACACCCTATGACTGCAAGGTGCTCAGGTCCTGTGCCTGCAAAATGAGCACTCATCATCATCCCTTCACCGCCATGCTTGACAGTTGGTATGTGCTTATAATGCTATGTTTGGTTTTCACCAAACGTAACACTGGACAGTTGGTATGAGGTGTTTGTGCTGATAATGCTCTGTTTGGTTTTCACCAAACGTAACACTATACATTATGCCCAAACATCTCCTTTGGTCTCGTCTGTTCAAAGGACAAGATTCCAGAAATCTTGTGGTTTGTGAATATGCAGCTTTGCAAAACTAAGCCGTGCTGCCATATTCTTTTTTTAGAGAGAAGAGGCTTCCTCCTGGCAAACCATATTTGTTCAGTCTTTTTCTCATTATACTATCATGAACTTGAACATTTAGCATGGTAATTAGGCTTGTAGAGTCTCAAATTAGATCCCTGGGTTTTCTGAAATTTCTGTAAGCATTGCACAGACTGACCATGGGGTCAAATTGCTTGGACATCCATCCTGGGAAAATTGACAACAGTCTTGAATGTTTTCCACTTATGAATAATCTTCCTCACTGTAGAATGGATTTTAATTTGTTTGGAAATGGCCTTATAACCCTCCCCAGATTGATGGGCAGTAAGAATTGTTTCTCTACAATCATTGCTGATGTGTTTCCTCCTTGGCATTATGTTAACACACACCTGGATGCCCCAGACATAAAACTTTGGCTTTTATAGAGGTGGTCACACTTGCTGATGATCAATTGCTCAAGGGCATTTGGTTAGTAGCAGCTACAGTGGATATAAAAAGTTTACACACCCCTGTTAAAATGGCAAGTGTCTGTGATATTAAAAAATGAGACAAAGATAAATCATTTCAGAACTTTTTCCACCTATGAACTGTACCTATGAACCTATGAACTGTACAATTCAGTTGAGTACAACTTGAGACCTATGAACTGTACAACTCAGTTGAACAACAAACTGAAATATTTTAGGTAGAGTGAAGGAAAAATAAAAAAAACTGAAATAATATGATTTCAGATTTATAAGCAGTTATGCCCACCTTTCATTTGGAAAGAACCAATGTGAAAAGATACCTTCTGATGTCTGTGCCTGCTTCTAGATTTCATTGGTGCAGACAAGCATCATTTACAAGTTTTGCTTTCATCTAAGCCCACCTCTCTTGGGAAACCCATGGCAACACCATTGAGGAGACACTGAGTTGTCTCCCCCCACTATCTTTGTGCCAGAGTAACTTTAAGTTTCATTTGTCAAAAAATCACTCCTGGATGCCTGAGAAATAGGTTTAACTTTAACTTCTTCCTCTAGCAAGCGGAAACCTAGCCTTTTGCTTTCTAATCTATAAGTAAACAGGACTTTGAATGTTAGGAATTATTATTACAGATCTTCAGGAATATCAAATTTGGATTCCAGAACTATCTGGCTATGGCACTAGTCGGTGAATTCTGACTATTTAGGGGTCCAAATGCACATCTCTGAGTCATATCACTAGATAGCTGTGACAATTAACTATGAAGAGTTCTATAAAATCATTGACAGAAATCTTGTTGGTGTAACTGTGATGTCATCAGCAGGTGCAATTTTTCAGAAGTTAAACACTTACCTACTATTTCTGTCCCATGGTTACCATGTAATCAAATTCTTGTTGAGAAGCCATGGGACCTGTAGGGTGGGAGGAGGACATTTTTAATTACTGAAAATCAGTGTCATGGGGGAGATATTGCTAGTGGCAGTGGTTTTTGGTAATTAAGAACTTCCTCTTCCCATCCTGCTTCTCTCACAGCTTCCCAGTGATAAAAGACATTGCATAGGAGCTGTGGGGACAGATCTAGCAGGGGACAGATCTGATATGACAGTCCTGCTGATGAC